ATTTTGAAACTTACATTACCTAGTCATGAGGTTATTTTCCCTATTTCAATAAATGACAATATAATTCTGGACTGCCCTAAGGGGAAAAAAGGCATACTGCCTCCAGAAGATGAATGTGAGCAAGTGTGGACATGAAAACAGCATGTCTCTGAACAGAATGGGGTGACTACAGGCAGCCTGCAACAGGAGTATTCAACCACACAGCAGTAGCACTTGTAACATTTGGGCTGAAGAAAATTAACCAGCTTTTAATTAACATGTCAACAGTGATAATTAATGTATATATTTTCAAACACTTTTCATGAAGACTCTTCTGATAGATTAAAAAACAACTGTAATATAAAAACATTACATTTGCTAGGAAAGAGGTAAAAGACTAGATATTTTCCTGATTAAAATACAAATGACTAGTAAAAAAAGAAACAGGAATCTGCCATTACAGACTTTAAATACCAGCCTTAAAGGTCTAGATTTGTCTATAATTAGATTTCGTAGTAAGTTCTCTTTCATGAAACCTCTTTTACTTAAAAGGAATTAGGTCAGATTTTTACAAAGGCAGTAAGAGTATCTGTAGAGATTTATTCAGATTCTCCATTGTTCATTAAAATGTGCCCTTTTGCCTCTGACAGCTGGTGCTGAATAATAAAGAGTGGCCGAGGCCCACTACTACTGACAAAGTTGTATTTACTGACATTCAAATGGAGAGAACATGAACTTCCTTCCTTCTTTCGTTCCATAGTGCCTGTGCTAGGAACGGGGTGGGAGTTGGGGACAGCGTTTATAATACACAAGTCCGTGATCGAGATGTTCAGACTGTTAGGGGAGATAAGATAAATACCTGAGTGACTGTTAAGTGGTATTATGAAAGGAAAAAAGCTAAGATAATTCAGAGGAGGAATGTGAACAAATCTTATTCTTAGAGTATTTTCAAGTTAAAAAATATGTCTTTCAGTAGTATCTAAGTGACATTTTAACACTGACCTGTGGGACCAGCAGCTGGTGTAATGGCTATGTTGCTGGACTTTCATGTAGTTGACCACAGTTCGAGTCCTGGACCCAGTGGCTTAAACTCATGCTGGGCATATGTGTGTGTGTGCTTAAGATCCTTAGAGGAGAATGGAGGAGAAGGGATAGCGGCATGGCCATCCCCCTGGGGGGGGTGATTTATCGCTCTTTCTGTCTCTCTCTCTCTCGCTCTCTCTCTCTGTCTTTCTGGTGAGCGCACGCACCCTATAGCAAAATCCTCTTCAAAAAAAAAACAAAAACAAAAACAAAACTGACTTGCGGGTCCGGCAGGTGGCGTGGTGGTTACGGTGCTGGACACTCCCACATGGCTGACCATGGTTTGAGTCCCAGACCTGGTGGCTTGCTTTCTTACTTTCCCTCTGTGTGTGTGTGTGTATGTGTGTCTCTGGTCAAATTAAAATAAATGAATGAATAAATAAAATTAAATAATTAAAAAAACTGACTTGCTATTGAAAGTAACAGTGGAACTTAAAAATTTCATGGTTGCTAAGCTCACCACATCAAACTCAACCTTTCAGTTCTGGCCTTGATCTAATTCAGAATTCTGCTTTCCTTTCTAACATAATCATTTAACAACGGATTGTGCAAACATGGCCTTGACTGGGGTCAATCACATCAATTTTCATTTAAGATTTAAAAATAAGCATAATTTTCAAAAATACTTTCTTCCGTCATTATAAATTCAGGCAAAAAAGAAGATAAAGAATTTAATTCATCCCTAGTGCCTCTATCTGGAGATAAAACTGTTACTTTTATCATGTTAAATATATAATACATAGAACTTAATGACTGTACTGTCTTATCATGAATATTCTATACTTGATTCAAGGGAAAGAAATCTACTTGCTATGTATCCAAGACTCTGTTCTTGTTAATATCTCACGGATGCTCACTTGACACACAGTATCACAAGAAATGCATGTAATGCCGTGACTAAGAAGAGCTGTAAGCTAGAACTATTCTGCCAGGATGTCGTACAACTGCTAAATCATGAAATTATACCAGAATTAATTTTTAAAAATTTCTGGCCCAAAATACTTGGTAAAATTGCTTAGAACCCCAATGCAGGGCAGGGCTATGAGTGTATGAACAGAATCCAGTATTTTACCCTGTGTCTACTTATTGCTCCGGACACCTGGGCTTTCCAGACAAAGAAACGGATGTATTAGAGAGGGACTGCCAGCAGGATGATACAGAGCAGAGGTTTCCAAACCTTCTTTGTTTTTGGCACTCTTAGTGTCCCAGTAATTTTGTCATGGTGCCCTAGGGCCTAAAGCAATAGCTAACAGTTCTATTAATTACCTAGCTAGGTCCAGACAATTTAGTAAGTATATATGTCCTAAGAATTTAGAAGACATTTAAAAAATAATTCCCACTCACTGAAAGAAACATATTTTTCATTCTCAAGTAACCGCAATTACTAATTAATGAGATGTGTGTATCTGATGAGCACTGAGTAACTTCTCAAATGTTGGCGTTAGACTAGACACCACCATTCTCACTTCCTGTTCCACACTGATTTTTGTGTGGTATTTACTTTTTGTCACAGCAGCTGCCCAAAAACTAACTTTGCAAAGATATCGCATCATCAAAAAATGTAGTATATAGGGGGGGCCAGCAGGTGTCATGGTGGTTAAGATGCTGGACACTCCCACATGGCCGACCACGGTTCGAGTCCTGGACCTGGTGGCTTGCTTTCTCACATTCTCTTTCTCTCTCTGTGTCTCTCTCTCTGGTCAAATTAAAATAAATGAATGGAAAAATAAAAATAAACAATTATTAAAAAAAAATGTAGTATAGGGGCCGGCAGGTGGCATGGTGGTTAAAGGTGCTAGATTCCCACATGGCTGACCACAGTTAGGAGTCCTAAACCTGGTGACTTGCTTTCTCGCTTTCCCTTTCTCTGGTCAAATAAAATAATAATAATAGTAATAACAAATGGAATTAAATAATTTTATAAAATGTAGTATAATCTAATGTCAAAACTGGGAACTTTCTTCAGTTAGAGGTCTGAGCAGCAATTGACAGATGCCGAGTGTCACTGTGTTGCCCCTGTGAGTCTGGGGACATTCTGAGTGGCTGGTTTGGTGTACAGTTGGTAACTGGGTGTACCCAATGGGTATCCCATTGTCCTTCATCACTGTAAAAGTGGTAGCAACTCAAATACATGGTTGTCTCTGAAAGATGTGATGCCTCTCATGTGCAAACTGCCAGTTCTTTTATAACAAAGTGCAGAGATCCAGGTTGGGATACGCAATATCCCTTAACTTTCTGTAGACAAAAGGAATCCTTCTCATGGACTCCCATGGAACACATAAGCCACTGGCCAACAGGCCCCGATGGAGCTACCTGCAGATTCTTATTTACTCCTACTAGTACAAATGCTTGTTATAACAATACTATGATCCTACAACCTATCTTTATAACCAGTAATCCTTTAATTAAACAAGTAATGCAAAAGGTGGCCGAGTATTACTTGGAAATGGAATAAAAACAGACATCTTAATCTTTTGGTAGAAGAAAGAAAGAAGTAATAACAGAGTCCCTTTGGGAATAATTTGTCACAGTAATTTAAAAAAATCCTGTGCTAAGCAGAATAATGCCTCTCTCCACCAAAGATATTCATGTCTTAATCTCTGGAATTTGTAAACATGTTACTTTACGTGACAAAGGAGATTGGGATTGGAATACAATTAAGGTTGCTAATCAGCTGACCTTAAAATCAGAGATTATCTG